AAGTAAGGAGGGGCCAAACCATTTTAATGTTTTAAAAACCAATAAGAGTAGTTTAAAACGAATCCCTACATCAACGGGTAGCCAATGAAGCGCAGCCAGGACAGGAGTTATGTGGTCATACTTGCGCCTGCCCTCTAAAAATCTGGCCGCAGCATTCTGGACCATTTGCAACCTGGCTACTGAGCCCTTGCTCACACCGAATAAAACAGAGTTGCAGTAGTCCAATCGCACCGTAATAAAAGCATGGACTACCGTCTCAAGATCATGACGTGACAAAAATGGTTTGATCTTTGCCAACTGACAAAGGTGGAAAAAGGAGGTGGAGATCACTCCATTGATGTGGGTATCAAAACTAAGGGCGCTATCCAGTTTAACACCAAGATTAGTCACCGATGCAGTCAGATGGCCATTAAATGACCCACAGTCAGTTAGGGAATAATCACAATGTCTGCTTGGAGCAAACAATATAGCCTCTGTTTTGTGATCATTTTGGCTCAGAAAAATTTCACTCATTCAGGTCTTGATCTCCCTCAAACAGTTAGTAAGAATAGAAATAGAGAGACCACTTGACGTGTTCAGAGGCAGGTACAGCTGACAATTGTCAGCATATAGGTGGAATTGAACTCCAAGCTCACGACAGATGTCACCTAATGGCAGAATGTAAACAGAAAACAACAGAGGTCCCAATATCGAGCCCTGTGATACCCCACAGGCTAGATCAGAGTACTCTGAGGAATAACTTCCCATCTTTACACACATTTCTATTTGTCAGGTATGATCTAAACCATTTCAGGGCTAACCCTGAAATCCCGACATAATGATGTAGATGGTGAAGCAGCACTTCATGATCTATCGTGTCAAAGGCAGCCGTGAGGTCCAGCAGAAGTAACATTACGGAGTAAAAGTTCGACAGACGCGTTTGTTTATATTTGGCCGCTGCGCGTCGGGTGGGGGGGGGGGGGGGGGGGGGGGGGGGACTCAGTGCTGCACACAGACAGCTGGTGTGATCCGCTCTGAAAAGCGGATTCCTCTTCCGGTCAACATTCTAGGAATCGAAACTAGGAATTGAAATAAAAAAACTTTGAACGATTCCGGGAAAAACTAACATTTGGTCCCGGTTCCAATCGATGCTCGATGCCAACCCTAGTAATAACATAATAAAGTTCAAATTTCTGAGACTGAAAATGTAAACTTTGTATTTTCTTTATTTGTTTATTTCTTCAGGTTCTCTTATGAAGGTAGATGGAAACAAAAGCTACAGACTTCTGTTGACTTCCCACTAGATGGTCTGGACCTGATGCAGTATGTTATTGGACCCAAGCAGAACCTGAAGAGATACAACCTTTATGGAGTTTCTGTAAGTAGGAACAACACAATGCTCAAAACGTCAGCTAAAACTATGCAGTGCATTTATTTAGAAACTTTAATGCAAACCATCTGTTTTCCCCCACCACCAGAATCACTATGGAGGCTTAGATGGTGGCCATTACACAGCATACTGTAAGAACATCCACAAACAGCGCTGGTACAAGTTTGATGACCACGAAGTGTTTGAAATCTCCTCCTCTTCGGTCAAGTCCTCTGCAGCCTACATCCTGTTTTACTCCACCCTGTGACGCTGCTGCAGGACATCAAGGGGGAAACTACATTAGAGTAGTCATGCTCTAACTTGGAGGCCATTTTCTTTTCAAATAGCTCTGAGGAGCCTGGTGCACATAGTTGAGGGTGAAGTGGTCACATATGTGCAAGAGAGGACAGTGGCTTTGAGATCCTGACAGGAGAACGTCGGAGGCACGCTGTGTACTGCTTCAGCTACTAGAGGAGCCTTTAGCTGTTCAAACATGCTGTCTGTGCACATTACTGACCAACCAGAGACTAAACAGATGCTCATGTTAGTCTGACCTTTTTACTAGAGCTGTGCTTTAGGGCTGATTCAGATCATCTTCACTCTCATTTCTCTAGTACGCAGCGTAGACAGCAGAACTGATCTTCAGCTTCCTTGTACTGCTGTTACACATGAACATGCACGTTTTTAATGCTGAAGTGGCACATTCAAACGTTTGGTGTAAATACACAACAGCGAATTCTGTTTGGTGACCAAATCTCTCTTTTTTTTTTTTAACCGTAGCAACCGCCATGATATCACTATATAAATTTAACTGAATCACATTTGTTTTGAGGGTTTAACTGTAATGACTGATATAAGAGTAATGGGAGAAACTGTGAGTGATTTTTTTTCTAACAGATTTCAGACTTTTGCTAGTTCCTATTAACATCCTTCTTACACAGAGTATGCAGTCAGTTTTAGGTTGTAGAGCGGGTTGTTAAGCAGCAGACCTTTATCTTCTTCTCAGAATGCTTTAAACAGATACCAGACATGGGCTGGTTGTCTACCTGCTCCTTTAAACTTTATTCTCAGTTAGGTGGATGTTACTTTTTCAAATATCAAACTCAAACACTATTAAAAAAACTGGGAAAAGTTAAGTTTGAGATTCACTTATTTTGATTTTCCTCCAACCTGATGGATTTGTTGTGTAATGAGCTGGAAAAAATGAAGACATTTTGTTCTGCTGAGCGATTCTGTGTCGACGCTCGATGCCTGCCAGGCTAACTCACAGACACGACTTCTGAACGGACCAGAGATGCGAAGGTGCAGGATCTGACCACTTCCTGGATCAACTTCTCTTGCCTAGCATGACATTATAATCCTTTTTCTTTTTTATTTGTACATTTGTTTTATTTCCTAATGCTCTACAAAAATTGTTTCAAATATAACGAATATATAACCTCAAACAACTCATGACTATTTATTAAAACTACTACAAATTCATTTTGTGAATGTGCATTTTTGTAAATTTCATGTTGGCTCAAGTTCACAGGCTTCTGATTACATTTCTGGCAGGTACAAAAAAACCTTTTTAACAAGTTAGGATTAAATCTGCAAAAAAATGAAGAACACGTTAAATGAGCGATGGGTTTTTTCCTTTGAGCTGAGCTCAGAGTCCTTGGATCTTTGGTTTCTGGAAAGGCTTGTGGCTGTAGAGCAACATGTAGACATCTGGAGATTGGATGTGGGTGTCCTCTACTTCTCTTAAAACTGCGTCGTCAAAGCAGTGCCACGATTGGGTTGGGCCATTGTAGCACACAGCGGTGTAGTGACCCATGTTCAGATGACCCATGTGGTTCTTGAAAAGAGTAAAATCCCAAAAGACATAATTTACACTCCAATAAGGTAAGAGTAGTTCTAAATTTCTCCAAACAGCTTGATCTGATGATCTGACTGCAAATCCCAAACAAAAATCCAGCCACAGCTCCACATATACTCACTACAACAGCATAGAGGTGGTATGCAGATGCGTTTTGCTCCGAGCAGGAGAGAAAAGCCGAGAGATCCAGCTTCATGGAGAACAGAACGTTGGTCCTGAGTTTTACCTGATTCTTCCCTTTACGGCCAAACCTAAAGAGGAGATGAAAAACTTTTTATCAGGTTTATTACTCTCCTGTCTCTGTGGTGTTTTGAGGTACAGTTGTAATCATTCGCAAAACAATTCTTGTTTGTGCACAAAAAGTATGCATGACTTATAAATTATGCTTACTTGTATTTTTATAGTAATAGTTTAGTGTGATGTTTTATGCACTTAGTACATCAAATTAAAGGGCTATCACGTAACGTCTGAAGTAAAATTATATTGTGTTAATTAGACATTGAATATATGTTCATAATTTATTAATCTCCCACTTGCAAAATGCATTTATATCTGCTTTTTGTTGTCTAATATAATTTTAACCCTTAAGAGCTCAAGACCGTTTAAAACGGGAAAAACTGCATCAAATAAAAATGAAATAAAAGAAAGAAAATAATTGTTGATATATGTATGGATAGGATGTCACTTGATGTTGTCAAACTTATGATGGGCTGTGACACCAGTGTCACCGTGGGTGCATAAGGGTTAAGACCAAGTTTATTTCTGCTGTTGTGTGTTTAAGGCAAAGCTCATGTATTGACCTAATTGTTAAAAGTTGATGTCAAGTTAAAGAACGAGTGAATAAGGGAAAAAACAAACTACAACTTCAGATCTAACATACGGCTTTTAAACTCATGTAAAAACAAATGATCTGAATGTCATGAGAAGATTTTTGTGAACAAATTGTTTTTTTTTATTTTTATTTAATAAAGTGTAAGTATACAGTTGAATACATTTATGTGAACATTCATGTTTAATTATACAAATATATGCAAAGATCCACAAACATCAGTCGATTTTAGACCCTTTTTTTAGAGGATTGTGAAATTTGATTTATATGTACTTCTACATCTTTAAGGAAAATATGGCATCTTATTAGCAAATTTACATTAATGAATATGGAATTTAGCCAAGAGAATAGACAAGTTCATTACAAAAATACTAATCATACTTGTTTTCTTTTTTTTTAAAGGAAACAAACAATCTTAAAGAGATATCCTTGAAAATATGTTAAATAATAAACCTACTACATTTCTTCCCAATAGCAGTATACCAAAACAAATGAGTAACACTTTCTGCTGGATGATCTCCACAAAAACTGCAGTTAACATCACTATCTCTTTTAAATTTCACCATGTAGAGCTTTGCATGGTTGTCATGAAGAATTTTAAATGATGCATTTTTTTAACTTTTTTTTTTTTTTTTTGATACTGGACTTGACTGCTGCCTTCCAAACGGTGGACCAGGACGTTCTGTTGGATCATTTACAGAACTGGGTGGGAATTACAGGGGTGGCCCTTCAACGGCTGAGGTCCCATCTGGATGACTGGAGGTTTTGTGTGTCGATGGGTGAGGCTACTTCAGCCTGGGAAAGTCTCAGATAGGGAGTCCCTCCTGGTGAAAGAGCTAGAGCAGGTGCTGAGGTTGATCTTGCTTCCCTGGCTCAAACAGAGAAGACTGTGGTCACTAACTTGGGGGTGAAAATTGATGCAGCCCTTAAATGTGACTCACACATGGTTTTCTGGACCACAGTTTCCACTTTTATCGGCTAGCTTTCCCCCAACATCGACACTTTTATATTTTTAACATTTGTATCGCAGTTTTTAATTGCTTTGAGTAGTTTATTTGAAATTTTAATGATTTTTATTTAATTTTATGTATGTTGTTTTTATTACTACTCTGGTTTTTATGTCCTGTTCAGCACCTTGGGCCTCTGCTAAGGTGGTAGAAGATGCTTTTTTAATAAATGCATTGAAATGAAATTGAATTTACTTCATTAATCTGCAAATATTTATGGGGGATCATCCACACTGCCTTTTAGCTGATATCCAGAACATGGCGATTCCAGTGCCATGTGACAAACGGGTGCAAAACAATAGCTTTTTTAAACAAACTTCATATGTGTTTGTTGCTGCTACCAAGTTCTTGTAAAAAGCAAATTTTTCTCCACCGCTGATTCAGTTGGACCTGGCAGTGTAAATTGAGTTGGTGGTAAATCATCAAAATTTCTAAACTGCATTAGAGTTCCTAAATGTATGGGATTCAGCCCCACTGGGAATTCCTGACAGGAAAGCTACATTAGGGAGGAATCTGTAGTTGTGCCACCAGTAGGATCCCATTCTGCACCCAAGTCTCTAATAAACGTGATCTGTTTTTAATTAAAGGATCTCTGTTGTTCCAGATGAGGTATTTGTGTGGTGAGAAGTTGTGCTTATAAATAAGGGTCCACGTTACTTGCTTATGAAAAGAAAACAAATGATGTTTTACCCACCTCTTCAGGTGCAACAGGAGGATCTCTGGAGGTTTTTCTAAACGTGTGAGGACAGTTGTTTCCCTTCTCAGCCCACACTCTGAACAGAGCATCTGCTCACTCCCCGTCAGCAGGGTCTCCTCAAAAAACAGAGACAAGCAGTCCTGCACGAGTAGGACAGGATGAAGATATAGGAAGAGCTGTGCAGCACCTGGAGTGATTGGCTGATCAAAGCTACCTGAATGGAGCACTTCGAGGTGTCTTTGGGCAGTGGAAGAGACAAAATGGTGAAGCTTTGAGTGTTGTGCGCCTGGTGATCACAGTGCATGCAGATGGTCGTGTAGCTTAGCTGGCCTTCAAACAGGTGTGAGACGATGGTGGGCTCAGCGTCAATGTTTCTGTTTGGTTCTTTTCTTGGTTGTTTCAGGAAATGTGTCTGGCGCTTTGCTACCTAATAAACACAAGCAAGCAGAATCTTTGTTTTAGTTTGTGGCAAAGAGAAAATAAAAGTGATTGTTTTAAATCCCCCCCCCCCCCCCCATTTTTTTTTTTTACAAAAGGTTTTAACAACAAAAAGTCAGATTTGATTAAAAAATTATTGTGCGGGTGTGTGATGTTGCCTCACCTTTTTTAGGTCATCATGGAGCGCATTGAGGAGATAGAGCAGCAGTTCCTGGGCATCTTGCTGTGAGAAGTTGTTGAACTGGGGGAAGATGGAGCACAGCACAGACCTGGTTTCAGCAGGGGCACAGATGGAGCTGCTGCCCAACCACATCTTCTCCAGGAGACGGGCGAAAACCTCTGCAACCCTGCATCTACACCTGCATGTACAGGGAGGTTCAGATCACTGGGGTTCCTCATCAGTCTTAGTCAGAGGAAAACGTAGATGCTGTTACTTTGCAAACTCTTTACGTGCATCCTGGTTAAGGAGATGTTCCACAAGAGGCACAGTAGAACAGAGACACTGTAACACAGCATTTAAGTAGCAGGAGTTGCCAGAGTTGTCTAACCCACAAACTCCAGGTTTGTTCCATCTGGACTTTAACTCTGCTCCAGAGCTGTTTTTTACATCTTCCACTGCCCGAGTACAGCTGTTTGTATTCAACCTGCAACAGCAAAGAAAGAAAGTAAACAGAAACTTTTAATTTGCGGTTTTGCACATTGTGTTGTTAATTGGGATCGAGTGGCAGGATTAGTAGAACCTCACTAACATTAAAAAAACAAAGTTTTTACAGTAAAAGATAATGTTCGGAACTAAAAACTAAATTTAATTAATTAGTAATAAACTAATTCCCAAAAATGAATAAAATAGTTGTCATGGTCTGTGTCGGCGTCTCATCTCATGTGTCTCCTTTTGTCCTCCATTTGTTCTCCAGGTGCTCCTTTTGTGTCCTCTAGCGCCCTCATGTGTCATGTCTGCGTCTCTATATGGTGTCTTCTGTTTGCAGACCTTTTTATCAACCCCTCAGGTCCAGTGTTCATTTAGTTATCCTCTGTGCCCCAAGTTGCAGCTCCAGCCTCTTTGTCCCCAGCTGTGTGTGGGTGTGTGTCCATTCCCCATTCCTGTTTATATTAGTGCATTTGTGTCTGTGTGATGGTGTGTGTGTGTGTGTGTGTTAATTCTTCCCGCAGCCTTTAGGTTTAGTTTGCCCTCCTCTGTTTCTGTTTGCCCATTTTGATTATTAGGTTCACCTGTCTTGCCTCCAGCTCTCACTCCACACACCTGCCGCCATTTTCCCTAATCACTTCTCCCTGTGTATATAAGCTCTGTCTTGTCTGTGTCTGGTGTCGGTTCATTGTTGTATGTTGTCAGTGTTGCGTGTGCGCTGTTGTGAGCGTTTGCCTTCAGGTCTTCGTGCTCTTGGTTGAGCTTTGTCTCCAGGTTTTTGTGCTCTAAGAAGAGCTTTGGGTGTTCCTGTTCCCCAGGACGTATTGGACTTTGGCTCGCTGCCTTGGATTACTTTTTGTTCTTTATCCTCCAAATAAAAGGATTTTTACTTTGAATCTACTTCTGCCTCTTGTCATCTGTGTATCTGCATATTTGGGTCCTAAATATCCTCAGAACATGACAATAGTCTGAAGCAAGATGAAACTGTTAATGTCATTTAAGAGATTTACATCACCCAATAACCTGAAAGTTATAATCAGCATGAATCAAACCTCTTTTACCTTTGCTTAAAACGATTAGGCAAACTCATTTCCTGGTAGGAACAGCTGTTTAGCCGAGGCAGGGCGGGGACGATGCTGTTTTCTGCAGCCAGCTGAGAGACCAGAATCCTGGTGAACTCAGTCAGCTGAACGCTCCGGCTCGAGCCTCGACTCTGCAGAGTGTGGAGAACATACGTGTTGATGCAGACCACGTGTAGCACCGCCCAAAGTCCGGGCAAAAACACATCTACTGCAGACCCTTTACGGTCTGAGAGTAGAAGCAGAGCAGGTCCATTCCAGCCCTGCAGGTGGGCAATAACAGACCCAGAGTCATCAGAATTCTGGTGAACCTGAAGTGGTGTGACTGATAAAGATGGAGATGATGTTTGGTCTTTCACAACAGGAGCAAAGCAAACATCAAACCCTGATCCCGAGAGGGTGGGTAGGGCTTTGCAGGCAGAGTTGTCTATCTGGACCAAGTGTCTCTGGCTGCAGAAAGGTCCCACCAGATGTTTGACCACCTGCTCCACCACAGATGTTTTGCTCTGCTTTAGGAGCTGCTCTGTGTGGTACAGACACATGTTACAGATGAACCCAGTGCTCAGGTCACAGAGGAGGGCCAGACATAGACAGCAGGGACCGTCCTGAAAGGAAAGTGTGTATTTCTTCACAGCCAGTTTGGCACCAGGTGTGTGTAGGGTCTGGTAACGCCTAAATAAATGGGTGCAGAAAGAAGACAGGACCTCCAGTTTGTCCTCATCCTCCAGCCTGGTTAAAGACAGGAGGCTGGTCTGCATGCCGTTCCTCTTCAGAACACCCTGCTGCCTGTCCAGTTTTTGCTGTGGACCAACGCTGCAGGTCTCTCCCACAGATAAACCACTTTGTAAAGCAACGGAGAACCACGCCAGGGCCTCACTGTACTCTTCCTCTGAGAGATGAGTGCTCCTCTCCCTCAGACTGTGTGGCTGCCGCTGAGCTCCGGCCTTCCCATCAGCAGCTCTCCTCATCAGCCCCTGAACAGCCTCTTTATCCAACACCTCCAGCAAAAGTTCTCTGGCTGTACGGTAAACCTGATACGTGGGACTCCACTGAGCCCTTGAGAGTGGCTTCACTTTTTTTGATCTGAAGATATTTGGGAAACAAATAATCTCACTCTGTGAATCTTCATGCAGATCCTCCACTAGATGGCACTCCTCTGATGTCCAGTCACACTCCTTTACTGACAAAGCTCGGGCCTTCATTTTAGCCTCTGGATAATAAAAAAAAAATCAAATAAAAATTCTTCCTGGAATGCAGATGAAATCACAATAAACCATGAGAAAAAAAAGCACCAGAGTTGCTGAAGATAACCAAACACTGACTGAGCACATCAGTTCTGTTCTCCTGCAGGGTGTGTGACACACTCTCTGTGGACTGTACAGACAAACTGCAAATGTTCTCAGCTACATCACACACTCACGAGAATCTGCTGTCAGGGTAAAACACCAGGGATCCTCAGTCGCCACACCACCATCTTGACGACGTACAAACATGACACTTTGACTCCGGTGCAACTCTTTCACCAACACTTATTCCTTTGAGGCGTAGCTCACTATTAAGGAAGCATTTGAGAAGCTCTGGAGATCTCATGCATGTTAATTTTGGGTCTAAAACTAGTTTTCACAAGTGCTATTTATTTTTCCTGTAGAGCAGCTGTATTCCGACATTAAATAATTGTTTTATTGTGCTAGATTATTTATTTTCATTGCATATTGGCTCTAGAATGGATTCTTCTCATTATAAAGGATCATAAGTGAGAACCTCACACCTGCAGAGACAGAGACCAGCCAGAAGAGGTTGTTGCAGAAAGGACGAGGACGTAAATACCTCATTATTTCTCCTTTGACCAGCTTCAAACCGCACACCCAGCTTTATCAATTTTAAGACAAATAGTTTGTTTAAAGTGAGTGCAATAACAAAGGAAGTCTTTTTTTGAGGGGGTGTAAAGAAAAGTTAATTTTAGGTACAAATATGATTTATACTAAATGTAAAGGGTGTCAAAAAAGGTCTGGTGTCTGCAGTTAAAGAGGCTGATTTTTGTTTCTTGATGTTACCTGAGCAGCCTGTATCAGAGCACGGGTCTTAGGTTTCGTCTTTCTAGCACCTGCAATGCAGCTCTGAGCCTAACGTTTCAGTGTTAATCACACCTTCCTGCAATTGAAAGTCCAGCTGCATTCATTCAAACGTAGAAACAAAACTTAATCTTTGCTTAAAGAAAAATACCAGATGACTACCTCATGTTTGTGTAAAAAGGTGAAATGCTGACATTTGTTTTATATTCAATCTACTGAAAGGCAGACCAAATGTGACGCTCAGATATCTTTGAGAATATAACGATGACTTAGCTTCACAAGTTCTACACAGTTCATTTCTTCCACTCAGGGTACAATATAGACTATCTGTGATCCAAGGATGATTAATGGATCTCAGAGTGTGTGTATTTATATTTGTAGTAGTGGTAGTAAAAAACGTTGTTCTGAATATGTATATCCATGTCTTATTAAATTAAACGACAACACAACAACAACAACAACAATAAAGCAAATGATAACAGAAAATAAAGACACAGCAACAAATAAATACGTTTATTCAGTCACATATCTGAAAAGAGCCTGAAATGTACATTTAGGTTTCCTAAGAAGGAAAAGGTTAACAGAAGTTGTTTACTCCAAATGCAAATGTTTTAATTGGACACAAAATAACCAGGTAGGCGTTGGAATTACCTTGAGTGTAAAATATGAACAAGGGTCAGCCGGCTCAAAGATGGTAAATGACTTGTATTTGCACCTTCTTAGAATTCTACAACCCTACAAGGCGCTTCACGACACAATCAGTCATCCACCCATTCATTCACACATTCACACACTGGTGGTGATGAGCTATGCAGCCTCAGCTGCCCAGAGGCACACTGACAGAGGCGAGACTGCCGTGTGCAGGTGTTACCGGTCCCTCCAACCACCACCAGCAGGCAAGGCAGCTTGGGTGTCTTACTCAGAGACACAACAGAAGCATTCTCTGGCGGGAGTTGGAATCAAACCTGCAACCTTCCAATTACAAGACATCCCGCTCTGCCTCCTGAGCTACTGGTGACTGGAAAAGTCACTCTGTTATTTATAGGAGACATTCAAGATGTTTTTGTGCCTAAGATCCCTTTTTGTTTCAGTCATCTAGAGTACATGACTGTCACCAGAGGTACTCTTCTCTGAGAGGTACAAACGTCAGGCTGCCACCGAGTTCCCAAAGTTAGGAGGGGAACATTGTAATGCTACAGATAACAGCATTTTAGCTTTAGATCTGTGAACTTTGAGCAAAATCAGTTGTAAATAAGTTTGAGTTTTCAGCCATTTATAAATAGAGATGACTCATTAAAAGATCTTTTATGTTTTTCTTGAATGATAAACCACAGGAAAAGGAAGGAATGAGTCAATCATTTAGAAAAAGATGAGCAATCTAGCTGAGCTGCTACTGAAATGTCTTCAGGTCTGCTGACTGTCTCCACTGATTAAATGTTCCTGTTGAAGATTTTCAGGTTTGAAGAAAAAAAAATCTTGAAAATCTTAAATCTGTCTGTTGCATTGATGTGTGTCTGCAGTAGACATGGCGCCTCGGTCTGCCTGAGGATTTAGCATTTATTCTAATGCAAACTAGGGCTTGCTAAATTCATTTTGTTATTCATTGAATTGAGTTACAAAATTCTTTTAATTTCAGCCAAAATTTTCATCAATAATTTTCTGTTTACACAAAATATTTGTTTTTTTCTGCATCTTTCAATTAGTTTTACCCAAATGTGTGCATAAACATCAGATCAAAGCTGTCTTTAAGAATGGATTTCAGAAAGAACTGGCTGTAAAAAAAATAAAAACAAACGTTAAAAATGATGCACAATGCACAAGAAGAACTTTATTTTTCTTTCTTCTTTTACTATTTGCTTCACTGTGATGCCCATGTTTGTCATAAACAGAACCAAACAAGCAGAGGAGCAAACAGAAACAGCATCTTAGATGAGGTCTGTTTTTATTCCAATGTTTTTTCACAGCAAATATACTCTGTAGCTCCAAGAAGTCGTGATAACTCCCTGCCTTCTGTCTTTGGGGGTGGAAGAATCACAACTACCTCCTGCTCCATTGCATAAATCAAATCTACTCTTAATCTTAAAATATGTTAATTCATTCAAATCAAAGGGCATATTCCCTTCAACACGGCCTTTGTTCTTTGTCTAATCTGAGAACCTTCTCATTTATCAAAAGAAACACAACTGAGTGTCCTCTGAGGCAGGATGAAGTGTCTTGCTCGGGTCACCCACGCAAAGCAGAAGAAAACACAGCGATGATGATTTTATCCCCTGTAGGAGTCTGATGTAATCACATGTAGGTGTTATTTTACTGAGCAACCCCACACAAATTCTCAAATTAACCCTCATGAACCATGTTGTTATTCAGATCGCACCACATGATATGATGCAAGAATACTGTTTGTTACTGTAAAAGAAACATTTTATTACAATTATCTGTCAAAATCTAATTTCTAATAATTTATCTGTACCGTAGGATTCTGATACTGGAGATACTAACTGATCACATGCTGAAATTATTTATTCGGTTCTTATAATTTTAACAAATAAACAGTCTAAAAACAAAAACATGCCTTTTGATGTAACTAATTTAATAAGGAAATTCTACGATGAAGTCATAGAATACTCCTGATTAGATTATGGAAATTAAGTTTTGGGGCTTAAAAAGCAAAATGTAGTTTAGGAGTAGTAAGTATAATTAAGCATCAGTTCTAATTAATATGCAGCTAAAGCAAAGATGGGGGGAATATGAAATTTTCTTAAAAAAATGTGATAGATGAAGTACACAAAACTATTCATAAACCTATTTTTTTCCTTCTTAAACTAAAAAACAATCCTGACCAAAAACACCCACAACTAGTTTAGCTTAGAAAGTCAGTTTGCACGTGGAGTTCCTCAAGGGTCTGTCCTCAGTCCAAAACGTTTTAATGTCTTCCTTTGAATGGTGCTTTTGGTTATGACATTTAATTTAGTTTTATTTTAATCATTTACAGATGTATTTTTCATTCTTTGTCATGTTTTGTGATGAAATGAGATCAAATTTGAATTGAATGAAAAAAATAAGTGATACTTTTGACCTCCTGATTGCCACTCTGCCTTAGAATGGATTTTATTTGAAGATCCCTTTAATGGTTCGTTTTATTAACCTCTTTTTTAATTTGATTAAAACTCTATTTCCAATGTGTTCATTACCTGTT